TTACAAACAAGTTTTTATTTGACGTTTTTTTAAAATTTTTAAATATAAACTGAAACTGAAAATGTCAAATGTAAGTGTTACCAAACGACATATGTCATATAAAAAATTTCTTACTTAATTCAAAACTCTTTTCAAAAGTCATTCACTAAATAAATTTTTCACACTAAAATAATAATTTTAAAATTTACAAACTCAAAATACAACTCTATTTTTAAATTATATTTAAAAAATTCTACCAAATGTAACCAAAAGAAAAATGCTTCGGACCCCCACTGAGGGTCGACCCCCAGTGAGATGGCGCGCCGTGATTGGACAAAAAAAAACTATTTTATTTTATTTTATTTTTTTTAAATTTCAGGCAGTAGGAGCTCGACACCTCGGGGTCTCCAGCATAAATTTGATGAGCCAACTTATTCCAAGAGTTGAGATGAAAGTACTTTTCCGCTACACACGAGGCCATGTGCTCCATGAAATAATGACTCACAAACAACAAACCCCCCACGTTATGCTCCATCATGAAAGTGATATACGAGTGTCGAAAGTGAAAGGTGATGGCCTAGCTCATCAACCTAAACCACTTCCAAGTCCAACACAGGAACTGGCAGGCCCGTTGGGCCTTGTAGACCATTTAGCACTGTGATCTTTGGACTTTAAAACCCAGCATTGCAGAGCCGACCCAAGTATCGTATCAGAGGGTGTGTCTTTGGTACAGTTTATTGGGCCTACTCATAATTTTTTCTTTTTTCTTTTCTAATTTTGATATTTTGTGTTAAAATATTTAATGTAAATTATATTGAGCTCTCTTAAGATTTTGAAAAAAAATACAGTAAATCCTACAATTTTAACATAAATATATTGATATCTCTTTTAGTAAGGCTAAATAGATCATAACTAATGCAAATGATGTGAACACACAAAGATAAATAATAAAAAATATATATTTTAGTATAAAATATATGATAATATCACTTTTCTAGCTATTTAACTAATGAATTATTCATGGAAAAGGGATTAATTGTTATATAAACAATAAAAAAAAACACAATATAATTATGCTTAAACTGTGAAGTTTATTATATTTTTCTCAAATCTCAAGAGTGATCGATGTAATTAAACCTAACTTATAATTCAAATATAATTTAAAAAAATTGAAAGAAAATAATCTTTAACTTTTACTTATAAACCAAATATGGTCCACAATTACATGCAGAGACCCTCCATTTTGGGAAATGGAAGACAAAGACAATGGCAAGAAAAGATTATCTGGAGTTATGCCTTTGTCTAAAGTTTGAAGTGATAAACCTTACTGGTTCCACCTTGACTTGTCCCTCTGATATTGTACCCAATTTTTGATGTTCAGCCCAATGGAATCTTCATCACCATTCCATAGATAAAAATTAATGGTCCCATTTCAGAATCACTTGTCTCGCAATTCCTTTCTCTTTATTTTTAATGTATTTTTAATTATTAAATTATATTTTAAGATTTATGTCTTTTGGCATTATCAAATAATCATATCCTATGACTAAAATTAGCTTGAGATAGAGAGACAAAACTTTAAAAAGAGTGTCTTTTGTAACCTCAAACACCACTTGATAATTATTATTTTTTTTTTTTCGTTTTAGTGGTTCAATGGCATAGCTTCGACAACAAAAGTTAGCTAAAAAAATTTTTTTTTTTTTTTTTTTTTTTTTTTTAAAAAAAAAAAAAAAAAAAAAAAAAAAATATTTTTTTTTTTTTAAAAAAAAAAGAAAAAAAAAAGAAGCAAAAGATAGAATCTGCAAATAGGAGTGTAAATTCGACCCGACCCACACGGACTTGGCCAATCAGCCCTTTTGTCTATTGGGCTCTGTCAAAAACCGAGTTGGTCCAGGCCAACCCAAGCTTAGGGGTAATCAGGTCTCAAGCAGTCCAAGCCTAATATTTTTTCTTCTTTTTTTTTATCAAAATAATTTGAAAATGACATTGGTCGTCTTGCAAGTCAAGCTTTAGATAGGGCCTCGGGCCAGGCTAGGCCAAAATAGCATGGCCCAAGCCCTAGCGCTGGGGTTGGGTCGGGCCGGGTCTGGTCAGGTCTCAGGTGAGTTTCAAACCAGTGAGTCATTTTTACACTCTTATTTGTGAAAAACCATTATTTAGCTTCCTATACAACCGCAATTCTTGAACAATAATAGAAGCAAAAGTTGTTTTTGATTGGAAACAAAAGATTAATCCCAAGATAGATTTAATAAAGTAAAATGATAAGACTATAGTCTAGCCTTATCTTTGTTAATCTCATGGGAAGTGAAAATAGGAATCACAAAGAGGATAAAGAAAATGCTAAGTGGTTTATTTTTCAATCCTCATTCTTGGAGTATTTTGCAATTATAATTATTTTTGGAGCTAGGGTTTTTGTCCCCAAAACATTTGTTTTTCTGTTTTTGTCTTATTACCCACAATGACACAGAAAGTCTATCCATCTCATTACTCAAAATTCATGCACAATTAACTCCACTCTTAAAACATACTCTATAACCATGTTTTTTGAATCATAACAACTCTTTAATTAAAAAAGAAAAAAGATATTAACACTTAATAATTTGCGCACTGCAAAACTCTTCGCCAATATACTTCTCAATCTCTATGAGTGAAGAAGTAGTTTAATATATAAATTAGAGATAACCCTAGAAGTGTTGATTACAACTGCTTTAATATGTAAAATTTTTTAATTTAATTGACACGCGCATCGCATATGTCTCTTCTTCTAATCTAATATGTGAGAGTCATCAACTTCCAATTCAAATACATTTGAGTGGAATGACGAGTGAAAAAGTTAGAGAATAAAGGAAGTCTTAACCCAACATTTATGTTTGGATTAAATAAGATAACGAGAGGTGGTGGTATTCGTGTGGAATGCACACTCCCTTCCATTTACTTAATATTATCTTTCGTTCCTCCCACTCTCTCTCTCTCACACTACTTTAGTGCTTTCCTCTTCACCAAACCATTTTTTTGCCCAGTTTTGTTGGGGTGGGTTCTGTGGGGCCTAAATCCCATGTTTTTTTAGGTAAGGGTGATGATTGAGACCCTACCAATCACCACTCCCACCACCCCACACACATGTGGCCGGTGGTGATTGGAGGAAATGGAAAAAAAAAGAAAAAAAAGTGACTAATCAGGTGAAGAGGGGGTAAGGGGATGGGAAAAAAAGGGGTTCAAGTCATTATTGTTTTAGGTAATTGGCTCTCTCTTGAAAGCATCATCAACAACACATATGCCGGACCCCCAAAGAAATGTAAAAAAAAAAATGAAACATATGCCAACCCACATGACCTTGAATTATTAAAATGTAAACCAATAAAATTGAAGGGACCTAGTAGAGAGACCACCATGGAGAAAATTATAGAAATTACAATAATAATTTTGGACCATATTTGTAGAGATATCCCTCACTAAAGGTTGTGATTTAATCTATGACTGATTTTGTATCTCAAAAAACATACATTTTTATTTAAAGAAATGATATTCATACTCTTTCTTTGTTAATCATTCTTTGTAATTGTTGATATTAGAAACTTCAGGAGATTGTAAGATTAGATGATATCAAAATAATAAGTTTAGCATATATAAGATTAGATGGTGCCAAAAATTAAGTATACAAACTATTTCTTTGTATAAATTTTCTCTTACACAAAAACAATAAGTCGACCCATCATCACTATGAGATTATGTGGTAAAATAATTAGTGTCTCTAATATTATTGTAACATTATTGTGACACCAAATGGTTTTGAAAATTTTATTTAATAGTAATTATTAAGCAGCCCATAATGGTGGCTGTGATTAATTAAGAGTGGTAGGCTTTGACGGAAAGTGGTGAATATTTAGGTACATAGTTGTTAAAGATTATTAGCAAGTTTAGCAATAGGTTATTTTAATTAAAAAATCATAAAAGTTATTGTTAAAAAATTAACTATTATCTCTATTTGTTTTATGTCTTTCTGTAAAAATTAAAAAAGTCAACTAAAATAGTATATTCCTAAAACAACTCTAAGATAATATTTGTTTATATAATATCTATTATATAAGGAAAATGTTGATAGGTTTTTTAAGTACAATGTCCCAATTTTTTATTATTATTATTATTTTTTTGTTGTTGTTGTTGTTGTTTTACCAAGTTCAAAGTCCTCCAAATCGAATTCAACTTTGTCTGCAACATTATAATCTAATAATTTGCATTAGTATTAGCTCCCAAAACATCAATTAAGGTGTTAAACTTTAGTTAGTGGTAAATTAGAATATTGACTCTCCTAAACTTCACTTTTTTTATTTTTTTGAACTTCCTTCTGATTGATATTGTATGGACATAGAAAATGTGACACTTGATAATGAAGCAACTCAATGAAGAAAATGATTAGAACCACGTGATCACCATTTTCAAGATAACACCTCCCGCCATTGAATAGCTGAAAGTCATCCGATGCCCAGGTTAATTATCCAATGTTATAAAAATATTTAATAGACAAATTTCATATCCATGTGATGTGATCTATTTATAACAACAGTGTTTTGCTTAACAAATAGTCTACGTGTTTTAAAAGTCTTTCTCAAACCATCTCTAGTTATTTAGAATTTCTATATCAATACAATCTCATCTCACAATGAGTTTTACTCCATATATAATACTGTTGTAGTGTTGCGTCACGTGACAGTATTAAGATCCAAATAATTCTTAATTTTTATTTCCTTTCAAAAAGGCATTACCCTGTAACAGTACAGGCCTTTCGGGGTGATGAACGCGGTCTTCTCCTCATCTGGAGGGTACATAGCAATCTGGTGGTACCCTCTGTATGCGTCTAAAAAACTCATCCTTTCATGTCCCGAAGTGGCGTCTACGAGTTGGTCGATTTTGGGCAGAGGGAAGCTGTCTTTGGGGCAAGCTTTGTTGAGGCTGGTAAAGTCTACACAAACCCTCCACTTGCCATTCTTCTTTTTTACTACTACTTTGTTGGACAGCCATGTTGGGTACTGGACTTCTCGGATGGCCCTGGCTTCAAGGAGTCTGTCTACCTCTTCCTCGACTACTTCGACGTGCATTAACGTCGGCCTTCTAGCTCGTTGAATCACAGGTTTTGCCGATCTGTCGACATTCAGACTGTGGCAAGTGACCTCGGGGTCAATGCCAGGCATTTCATACGGTGTCCAGGCGAACGCCTCTATGTTTGCCCTTAAAAAATCTTCCAGTTCTTTTTCTTCTTCTCTAGCTAAGCCTGAGCCGAGAAGAAAAAACCGTTCTTCGTCGCCCTCCTGGACGAGGATTTTCTTTAGCGCCTCTTCGCTTTTCTCGGCTGGTTCTTTCCTGACGTCTTCTAGGACTTCCATGTCCTCGTCTTCAACTTCTGCTTTCTTTGGCTCCCGTATACTACAGGTGGACTTTATTGCTGCCATGGAGCAATTTTTGGCTTGTAGTTGATCCCCTCTGACTTCCTCAATCCCATGCTCTGTTGGGAACCGGAGTAGTTGATGCAACGTCGAGGAAACTGCCCCCATTGCATGCAACCACGGCCTTCCCAGTATGATGTTG